ACGTTTTGTTCAGCCGGATAATCTCCACATGTTTACCCTACTTTTATACTGTTCGAATCATAAATCTAATCGCCGGAAGCTAAATGCTAACGTTATGCTATAAACTAACTACAGCCGAGTACAGCAGGGTCACAACTTCAACGTCACGCCAACTTAAAGGTCCATATTCGAAAATAGACTCAAATTGTACAAGTTGAAGCGTTTGTTTTAACAGTTTGCAAGAGCACAGGTACTTGCATTCAAGCAGAACAGGGGCAAACAAACTTAGCTGGAGTGTTTACGTGTTCGGTGTAATGACGTACAACGTCCTCGACAACTTCTGTAGTCCTATTCAGCCACTTGTTAACAACCATCGTTTTTCAGACACGCAAACTCTTCAAAAATTACCAGTGGAGTCACTGCTGATGTATTTAATGTTGTAGAACAAAACGTGATCCGTCTCTTAAATTTGTGTCAACCACAGACCTTATTTCCAGCTATTTTCCAAAAAAACGTTGACTCTGAGACGAGGGAACTGGAAGTGGTAAAATGCTAACTCACTTCCTGGTTTTAGGACTCGTTCCTGCACCACTCTATTGGTCTGAGATATTGGCAAATCATATTTTTCAGCACCTTATTCCTCTGGAAAAGTGAATGCACTAGCAGCGCTTTCACACCCTGTGCACACATAGAGTAGACCCTGACTCCTGACCCCTCAGAGACACTGTGAGTGACCCGACCCTGCAGGGAGGAGCAGCTGCCTCCACTCCCCTCATCTCCCCCTCATCACACTACAGGCTCAGCAGCTCAGAAGTGGGTTAGCGTGCCAAAAGAAAAACACACTCAGCTTGTCTCACCCGGTTCCCTTCAGAGAGACAGGCTGCTGCTGACCGACTGCAGCAGCTGAAGACGCTTTTCCCGCTCTTTTTCAAATCTTGTCAGTTGACATTCAAATTTGAATCAGTTAGTGCAACAGATCTGCTAAAACACCATACAGACGTACAGAAGTACTTTTTATATGGCACCTTCTACTTCTACTCCCCTACTGCTCAGGGAGAGTACACAAAACATACTTAGAAGTTATAAAATATGATGTACAGGTATACGAATTAAAACTACACTAACATTTTTTACTTATACAAGTAAAACAAAAACGATGTGTTGATTATTTTTGTAATATTTTGATGCATATAATGCTATACAATTCATGTTTCCAGCTACTCCAATGTAAACATTTGCAGCATTTCATTTCAGATATTTAATTTTAATTTATTTTAGGTAATTTGCAACAAAGGTTTGACAAAACAAACACTTTGGGACACTATTTAAAGTAAATGAACCCTTAACATAATTGAAAATAATAACTAGTTGCAGTTTAAATCAAAAATGGATACACTAACTTCAACCAACTATAGCAGTCAAATCCTGCTTTGACATTAATGCAATAATGACCTTTTAATGTAATCAATAATTTTACAACAGCCAGAGGGGACATTTTTCTACACAGAGCACTTGTACATACATTAAATATTTCATACTTAAAAACATGTGGTTGAACACCATTAGCACTGCAGGACAACGTAAAGGAGCATTTACAGTGGGGTATTAGTACTTTTACTTAATACGTCTAAATACTTCCTCAACCACCGACAAGACATCCACACCATTTGAAATAAAGCAAACTGATGTGATTTAAAATGCTATTTAAAGCACAGAATATGCCATCATGACAAACACTGATGCTGTTTATCTCATTGAAGTCATCCAAAGAAGTTTTTTTTTATGTCAAAAATAAGGAAAGTGATGTTATTTCCATTTATAACTCTGTCTGGCTCAGGGATTTTGCGCAGCAGACAAATGGCAAAACATCTGGATTATCTAATTTTAGCTTGGACTCAGACAGCCTGGTTTAAGGGTACGCGACCCGAGTGAAGTCGGAGTTATAAGCTTGAAAGTTAAAGTGGAATTATTTCTGCTCTGCACATGCTTGAAGTCTACAATTAAAAAGCCCTGATGCCCGTAATGTGGAAGAACGTTTCCGTCCTGGATCTGGGAGCGTTTTCTTTTCCTGTGTCAGCCTTTCCACTAATATTTCAAAGCTTTAACTACAGGTCAGCTGTGGAACAGACGTCTTCTGCACAATATCGCCTTTCACTCTGTAGTCAGGCTGCTGGATGGATTTCAATACCGAAGAAGACAGTCGTATGAAAGTGTCTGAAAAGCAACATCTCCCTCACTTAACTGGCTGCTGATGTTTCTCTTTTTCTTTTATAACACGCAGCTTTTAGAGCGCATTTGATTGGTGGTATCTCCTGGGTATTAGGGCTGCACGATTTTGGGAAAAAATCTAATTGCGATTCTTCTGACAAATATTGCGATTTGCGATATTTGTTTTTAAGCGACCCAACGTAAGTTTATTGTAAAATGCGGCCATAACTCCGGCTAAGAAGGTCGTATCAACGTGCTCCCGTCTCTAGCACCCCCGCAGCCCGAGCTACGAGTGAAGGAACTAAACTTACATGAAACTTCCGTTGGGTTGCTTTAAAGTCAAGCTTCAGTTTAAGACTCACCCTGTAATAGAAACATGTGATGGAGCATTACTAACCTGACCCAAACCATCTAGGAGAGCTCCATTGGAAGCCATTTGGAAAGGGCAGGCAACTTTCGAAAAATTACTTGGCAGGTGATTGGATCAATATGTCTATCACCTTCTATCATGGGCCACTTCCGATTGATTAACAATGGCTGGTACATGTGGAGCACAGCACTTCTGATTGGTGTGGATGACTGACACAAGAAGAAAAAAATAAAAAAGTATTAAAAAAAGGTTTAAAAAAAAATCGCAGGCTTTGTGATTTGATAATCGCATCATTTAAAATCGCGATTTCGATTTAAAATCGATTAATCGTTCAGCCCTAGTTTGGTCCAAAGTAACTACGAGAATTTTTGACTGTTATGCATCAGAGGGATTTATGGTCGTGCACAAGCTGGTAATACTGTACATGTCAGATGCATGATGGGTATGCAACATATTTGACTTGATCATTGGAAACCAGTTTGTGTTTTCAACGCATTTTGCTGCAATTCTACATATTTTGAATATGTTCTTTTCATGTTATTGCCTACTCTTGATGTACCAGTCATTGCTGGATTATAACTCGTTGACATCCTCATATAATTGAACTTAATGAGTCGCTTATTGACCGGAGATGTTCTGTTTTTGGACCCTTGAATAGTGTGCAGGATCTTTCCACGTTTCTTTGTGTATGGTGGCTTTGCTGATGCACCTGTTGATACACACAATACAATACAAAAAAAATACAAAAGCAATCGTGCTGGGATTACTTTAAGGCATCTATTCTGTCTCTGCTACATATTCTTATTAAGACATACGCTTTTAGAGGTTTGGACCAAAGTATCTACTCGAGTGTTTGACTGTGAGGGATTTATGGTACTGCCAAAGACGGACAAAGTAGATTTAGATTTAAAGCAATACTGCTAGGATTATAGTAAGGTATCCAATCAGTCTTTGCTAAGCGTTGATATTCATCCCTGCACATAAGCTTTTGGAGGTTTGGATCAAAGTATCTACGAGAGTTTTGCTTCTGAGGGATTTATGGTACTGCAAAAGCTGGTAATAGTTTGCAAAGTAAGGTTGTAAATGTCAGATGCATGATGGATATGCAACATGTTTGACTTGATCAGTGGAAAGTAATTTGTGTTTTGCCTCAAAGTAGAAATGAATAGTGGCCTTTTAGCTGCTGAACTGTAACCAAACCTAAATAACACTGTGTGCAGATATCGTATGAATAGTTTAACATATTGCTGATGGGTGTATTATTCTTAAAAATACTGTCGTTGGAAATCGTTTATTTAAGCTGACAGAAGGCACCTGGTCTCACTTGTTCCCCATCCACTAGTTCTCTGACCATTCTGATTTACATGTTGGGATTCCGTTAGCTCGTTAGCATACAGGCTGCCTGCCATCTGCTGGATTAGCATGCTGGACGTGCTACTTATGTGGTTTATAACAAAAACAAGTTGCTTTCACACTTTAGCTCGCTAGAAGAGAGTAGAAAACTCAATGTTCAGATATCTTTACTTTATAGTTTATTACAGGAGTACATTTAACAATCACGGTAACAAAAAAAGGAAAGGAAGAAAGTAGACATTCATATTTAAACTAAATGAAACATTTTTCCTGTAAAAAGAAATACAAATATTATGTACAGAATGACATAAGACCAACAGGTGAGAGGAAGGGGACGTGTAGTCGCATGGCACTTAAAACATAGACATACCTCGCAAGTGCTTTCTGTTTTCCATAATTAATATCAAATAAAATGCAGTGATAATAAGTCTGAATAACAAAACAAAAAATAATTATTACAGTTATCAAATCAACAATATTAACATTTTAAACACTGTTTACAATATAACTGAAATACATAACATTCTAAATACATCCAATATTTACCTTTTCATTTAGGCTAAAAACTCTAGATCTGTAATAGAATAAAAAATAGCATTTCAAATATCTTATAACAACAATATTAATCGTACAATAACATTAATATTAGGTTATTAGTAGACGTAAATAGCTGATTTTCCACATGGCTTGCTAAAGGGAGGAATATTGTACAAATTAATATACACTATAATCTATTTATGCTCCTTGCTTTCACAAAACGCACATATTTAATCATTATTTGTAATGATTAAAAAAGCACTTGATACAAACTATTGCAATCTAGAACTCTCAAATAGAAAATATACACAAGAAAAGCAGCAAAAAAACTCTATTTTTATATATTTTTTATCGTGAAGAAATCAGTGGTGTGGTTGGTAGAAAGAGTGAACAATGTCTAGCACAGGCAGAATCCATCTGGAATGCTATTGGACAACAGGATCGTCCAATAAGAGCGTGACCCCGCCCTCCCCTGAAAACCTCATTGGTCCTTTCTTTCTCTCTCTCGAGCTTCAGTTCGGAACTTAGAACTCCATCCGGGGGGGGGTTCTAGAATGTCCGAGAGTTCCGCGAACGAGTCCCAGAGTTCCGCGAACGAGTCCCAGAGTTCCGCGAACGAGTCCCAGAGTTCCGCGAACGAGTCCCAGAGTTCCGCGAACGAGTCCCAGAGTTCCGTGGCGGGTAGCTTTTTTTTTCTACGTATCGGAACCAAGAACAAAGTCTTCCTTCTCCAAAAATATGGAAGTCGCAAAGCTCTGAGAGTCCTGATTGTGCAATCACCTCAAACAATAAATCTCTTCATAGCTAATAAAGTTGCTTAAACCATGGACTTTAAATTTGTTTTGCATTCTTAGCGTTGATTGGAGGAGCAGCAAGACAACATGTCACCTTCTCCACACAACTCAAAATGGCTGCACCAAGTAGACGAGAAAAAAAATAAAATAATCAGCACACATAAACAAACACAGAATGACAAAGCAACACTCAAGCAGCATGTATGTAGGTTTCTCTCCACTCCATCTTTCCTCCTCCAGTTACTCTCGGTTTCGTGAGGGCGACTTCTTTATCGACTTGTTGCAAGATAAAGTCCGAAAGAGTACAATCTCAACGCAACATCAAAGTGTAGTTTGTGTGTCAAAGCACAGGTTCGGAGAGTGTACAAAGCAGACCTGGACCTCATTGACTTTGATTCAGTTACTTTAAAGTGATACCAATTGTGAGTTCAAGTTCAATGCTTCCTTGGTTTGCAGAAGTGCACCGGAAAACCCCCTGATATGTTTTTGTTTTTTGTGGACATAAAGTAATGAGCTGAAGCTTATCCCACTGTGTGATGCATGGATGGAAGCATTTTAGGAACGTGTACAGATCATTAAGTGTACAGGTGTGCTTTGTGAAATCAAAGCATACAAGGAAGACTAGAAAGAAATTGCCCTCGAATGTTTTTGACCCGTTAAGATATGCACCCAGTATATCCTCTCCATCAGAACTACATGCCTTATTTGTAAGCGATGTCCTTTAACATCTGCTGTTCGATTGGACTAACTCAGCAACACATTGTACCTGTGCTAGGATCATTAATCTGTAAGCTAGTAAACAATTTGAATTCAATGGGAACACAATGATATATATATACTCTTTTTTAGATTAGCAGATTGCATGAGTTGGATCTTGGTGGTGCCATGGAGAAACTATCAGTCTATACATCCATCTCATTTACCCTGCTCTTAAACTGCTTCACTGCATTTCATTTAAAATATCCTATTCTTCCGTCCTATACCCTGTGTCATCCAAATCACAACCATGTTCTCTTCTTTCAACACTTCATATTCCCAAAAGTACCACCATACTTTTCTTTCTCCCATTGTGCACTACCCACCTTTCTTTTTCAAATTATATTACATAGCTTCTTTTTTTTTTTTGTACATACATTTAGTTTGTATATTTCCTTAAAAAAATACACGGAATAGAGAATAATTAAGAAGTTTTTTGGCAGTTTCTCTCTCAGAGGAAAGTCCTGATCATCATCAGTTGTAACAAGAAAGAGACGAAGACGTTTCTCTTAGTCTGAAAAGGAACCTCCAACTTGGTGGTGGAGGAGAAACAATAAGAACTTATTTCTTTCCTTCCTTCAATCTTCTCCTTTAAAGACTTCTGCGATCACTCTCCCCTCGACTCTTCAGCTCTCTGCCCTTCAAACAGTGGCTCCCAGCAGCTCTTCTGACTTGGCCATGATCTCGTTCTGGTTGGAGTCCAATCCGTAGAACTTGACTTTCAGCCCGTCGACAGGGTGGACCACCGGTACCGTGATCACCCGTGGAAAGTCCCGGGTCGCGAGCTCGAATCTGCTGGTGCTGGCCAGCTCGATGGCGAGGATACGGAGAAAGAGGGTCGCCAGTTGTTTGCCGAGACAGGACCGAACACCGCCGCCGAACGGCAGGTAGTGGAACCGTCCCTCTTTGTCTTCTCCTCGCTCCTGGCTGAAACGGTCAGGATCGAAGGCGTCCACATCCTTAAAGACGGCCGCGGTGTCGTGGGTGTCCCGAATGCTGTACATCACACTCCAGCCCTTTGGAATCTGGACTCCCTGAAGACACAAAAAGAAACGCAGGTAATGAGAAGGGTTGTGATTTTTCCGAAATCCTGAAACGTCAAACTTGCAATGAATATCTATCGACGTGACTACGCTTGGTCCTTGGTTCATATGTCCTTACATCTTTGTGTTTAGGCCTAGAAGTTGTCTCAGACTTTCAAATGTCTTTTTTACTCTTTGTATGAACTTCAGATTTAGTGGCTACAGCAGGGGTGTCAAACTCAATTTGTTCGCGGGCCACATCAGCATTATGGCTGCACTCAAAGGGCCGGTTGTAACTTTAAGACTATATAAAAATACATATATAAATATTTCATATATATAACATAATGTATTATATGACATGATTGCCTCTGCATTGGATTATTTTCAGATACGGTAATAACTTCATAATTAACTACGTCTGAAAGCAGAAGTCTAGGGCAAATAATTGCAAGTCTCTTCAGTGTGCATGTCACAAAATGATTTAA